AACAAACTTCTCACAACAAAATACCGACAACAACCTGCTGACAATAGCCTACTGAAATTAATCTACTAACGACAAAATACCGACAAAAAAAATACTTACAACGAAATACCGACAACAACCAACTGACAATAACCTACCGACAACAAACTACTTACGACAAAATACCGACAACAAACTACTTAAAACAAAATACCGACAAAAAACTACTTACAACAAAACACCGACAACAAACTACTTACAACGTAATACCGACAACAAACTACTTACAACGACCTGCTGACAATTAACTACTGCCAACAAAATACTCGCAATAAACTACTGACATCACCCTACTGAAAAGCAACTACTGACGACAACTGGAAACAACAGAATAAACGGATGTCCATTTAATGTATTTTTCGAGATGTTTGTTGCATTCTACAATCATACAAACAACACACAACCTCACACTGTACATAGTTTCTAAATAAAATTCATAAAACACTTCACATTTTGCACTGGAAATAATATATTTCATCAGTAACCTTAACGGTATGATGATATGAAACAGTTGACCAAATTTGAATATATCTTCAGATTCCACATTCCATGGCAATTCCTAAACTTGAATGTAGATTAAATTTACCATTAAAATAAATAAAGTATAGCTATATTGACAGATGTTTTGGAAAACATTTGTATATATTTCAGAAATAAAAAGTATAGATTTGATAGGGTTAAAGGCTGTCATATCGCAGTTTGTATCACATTGCATGACAACTAATTTGAAGTAGAAAACTTTTAACTTAATATTTGTTTTATTTAATACTTATAATATTGTGTGTTTATAATAGGATCTTATAACGGCATCATTATCGGGGATGTTTTTAGATTTTTAATCTAGAAATAGATTGCACAAGCGTGCTGGGTTTTTTCGTTTAAGAACAATGGGATGGAGAAACGAAAACATATGCTACATACAGTAATACGATTATATAACTCTCCTGGTAGGTAGGGGGTAAATCTCAGCACAGTAATGCCGGAGAATCCTGTGAATCAACAGCGCACTCCGTCACATTAAAATGCTACCGTTTCAACATTATAGAAAACAATATATAGCTAAACCATAAACGTCACACCATTGTACGCTCAAGTGTTAACATTTTTACTCTGCCTTATCCAGTTTACATAACAACTTTTTTCAAACACTAGGGGAATAATCCACAGAAGGATTTCGAATGTAAAGCGGCAATCGTCGAATGCAATTATCGAAAACTTTCGTGCGCATTTTTTTTTTAAATCTTAATGTTCCCTACCCATTTACATTTTTTTAAAATATGTATTGTTTAAATATCTTCTTAGGAAATCGCTTTGTATTCAGAGTTCATAACTGCACAAGTGTGCTTCAATCATATGTAATCATTATCAATGCAATGCACTATAAATCGGAGTTATGTGTAAATAATAAACTTAACGTAATGGCATAGAATAAATAAATATCTCCTAAAGTATATTAAAAAATAAAATTCTGATCATTTAAAACACATATATTTGACTATTTTAAAAACTAAGTTGGAAATATCTTGAATGATCCATTGATGATTATGAAATATGTTTATAAACGTTATATATTTCATAAAACAATACATAACATTTAACTAGCTCGAAATATATTGCGAACCTATATTGCCGTAATTAATATCTCCACATTTGTCATATTGAACAACATGCAGAAAATAAAATCGATCCAAAATATATATTATTTTAAACCCAATAAACTGCCTCGGAATATTTCTATTACATTTACTTCAAAACACATATATAGTTACGAATGTAGGATTGTTTTTGTTTTTGTGTTTATTTATTTATTTGTTTGTTTGTTTTGTTTTCATTTTTCATTGAAGCAATACCAAGCTGAAAGTTAGAATGTTGTCGCCGGACAAATAAATTGGTGGCAAATAGTTGTTTTACTTTATAGTTTATTATGTCGGAATCTGTATTAAAATATTCGAATTATATTTTTTTATCAATGACAGTAAATTATGTATCTAACATTTTATATTTTAATTTCAGCTATCACAACGTAGTAAGTTAAGACCTTAATTTGTAATTCATAAAGACACAATTGTATCGAGAAAGAATATTTTCAGGATAATATGCAAAACATGGCTACTATCAGAATAAGTGAAATGTGATTGTATTTATAGTATGTTAAACAATGACCCTGGTAGATGTTTTAAGCTCTGTCCAAATTTATTTTAATTACAAATTCCAATCACCTATTCCTCAAGGTTTCGTGTTTTTTTGTTATCATTGAACCGTATTATATATCTTGAAATGTATTTAAAAACATACAACTGTGTGAGAGAACTTCATGATATATTGAATCAGGAATTCAATACCAATTAACCGTTTTATGTATTAGTATTTTACCATTATAGCAACTCCCTGTATGAAATATTGCCGTTATCTCTTTGTGAAAATAATTACATTGAACCGGGCTTACGAAACTCCCTCTTCAATCGATTCCAAAAGCTGTTCACAAATTCTTTTAGTGTCAGTCGTTCGTAATGTCCTAATGATAGGGGAGAGACTAGGGGTCTCATTTAATTAAACATTTAGCAAAGTTCTTTATATTTTCCAATTATTTTCCGAAAAGCATAGTTACTGAAACAACAAGGTGCAGGCATTTCGCTTGATTAGATTTTTAATAATACTGTCTGTTTGTGTTACTACTTCAACCTCATTTTCGTTTAATTGTCCCTGTGTTGCATGTTTTCACATTCAAAATCATTTCGCATTTTTACTGATAACCTTAACTAGCGCTATCAAAAATGATAGTCCGACATCCGTTATATCACAAATCAGAATAGATAAAATAATGAACACGCTACATATTTTATGCATAATATCAATAATGAAGGATTCATAGCGTTTATATAATTGTTGTCGTCTTTTGCTTTAGAAAGTATTAATTTTCAGCTGATGATGGAAGAATGTTAAATAATTTGATATAGAGTCTCGTATTTGATCGATTGAATTTCAGCGATATTCCCAAGACAGATATGCTGTGCATTTGATAATAGACACATTTCTCTGCCAAACTAGCTAGTCTGATCTATAAATTCTATCATTAATAAATAAATAATTAGAAATTGGTAATTAATTACACATGTTGTATAATAATGGCACTGCTTTTATTTTAATAAGGATGCGTAGATTTTATGCAATATCAAAATGTCAAATTAATTTACAGATAATTCCTTAACGGTTCAAAAGCCTTTATTAAATATATATTGTATATTAGTTCAAACAAAGTAAAAAGTATAAGATTTTGTTTACGAAAGTATAAATAAACATAAATTAATACCGTTGTATGTCTCCCTATGCTGGTTTTCATGCATTCTTCGGTACACTACAAAACACAGGTAAACAAAAAAATTAAGTCTGCATTATTAACACACGAGATAAACCCATAAAGCTCTATTTAGACATCAAAGACAATGTCCCCGTCTTACTAACACTTACTCGCTGTCAGGAGAGTCAGGTATATTATATTTAACAATAAGTAATCTACGTTAATTGAGAGTGACATGATACTAGTAATAACTTCTTAAAATAATTATGTCATATGATAAATTTAGTCGTGTTGTCCGCAAGAAATTGTAGAAGGTACTTTTTTGTTTCAATTTGAGAAGGGTTACATTGAATTATAGATATTGAAATTGCAATATTTGATCCTAACAGCCGTCATAGATAATAGAAATTAAAAGTCTAGACATATCCGGATCAAATGATATTAAACATAAGGATAATGCGCGGATTAAAATAAAGAAAAATATCAGAAACTTACACATTTTTTTCTTTTGAATTTAATTCAAAATTACAGCATTCCCTATGGGAGTTTACTTAATCAAAAATCAATATTTACAACAAAATAATACAATTAACAGTAAAACAATCTATAAATAGAGAGATCAAAAGGTGAACGGTTGATAATTGAACTTATCTAAACACATGATATTACAATTATATTCATACACACAATGTCTAAAAAACAAATTTAATTTAATATAAGAATATTATTAGTAAATGACAACAGCAATAAGTCGTTGTGCATATGTATAGTTCCATTGGGCTTCTAAAGAACATAACAGTTGTTCCCTTCCTTTTTATAGTTTAATAGATTCATATATGTTTATAAATAGCAAATCAACTATTTTCTCCTTTATTCATAGTTGTCAATGCGCTATATCAGTATCACGTAAACGTTTTGGGCTGAAAGCAATCCCCTAGCTGTAATAATGTTTTATCAAATAAAACCAATTTTATCCGACTCCTGTGTTGATAAGACTTGAAAGCTCTAAGCATAAAACTACAATTATTATTACTATATACAATGAGAAATTCGATACAAAAATGAAAAAGCATTCAAATGTTCTTGTCATATACTTGGATCGAAGTAATCGTCTATTGGGGAACAAATCGAAAATGACACTTTTCTGAACGTATCCATCCCCGGTTTGCCGAACGAAGATCCAATAAACTAAACAAATTACTTTTGACGAAGATGAGCCGGGAAAGGTTATTTAATATTTTCAATAAAATCTAAATCCACAAACGTGATTATGAATGCAAAAATGATGCTGAAACCAACCAAATTATATTTTCTTGCTATTACCAGCGACCGTAGTCTTATTATCTGTCGGCTTGCGGTTTAACGGAGTTAATTCAGTCCACACAAATCTGTAGTGAAAAGAACTGTCTCCTTATTTAATTTCCAACAATTTTTGCTGTTTATATCAATTTTACCTCGTAAATAAATAGAAAATTTTCAGCTAGAGCGAAAATTATGTAAAATGTGTATTTCCACATTAAGTAATCCAATTTGCTTCCAATCAGCAGCGCTAAGTAGACGCCGCTAACACAGTTAGACGAACGTAAAACAATTTTCTTGCCCCAAATCTTATTTCACTCAACAATGGCTGTGCAATATAAACTGTAAAATCCACTTTACTTACCAGTCGGGAAAACCGGAGGCTGAGAGTGGTCTCGGGGGCGAGGTACCATGCTACAACTAGCTGAGGTTATAGCAGGATTTGGGGGAAAGGTCCGCACCCCATTGTATCGATACCCTTGGGCAGCCATTTGGCCAAAGGGGTTGGTATCTCCGTAGGTACATGGAATATTACAGCTCGCCAGAGGATTTTCCATTCCGGGTATACCACAGTTGGTATCGAAACTGTTTTGTCCCAAATAGGAGTACTCCATAGTGCCGAGGTTGGTGACAGACTGTTCCTTCGGATGATGTGCTCTCGTGTTGCCAAATCGGCGGTGTGGGTCAAAGAAGCTGTGTTTTTCCACGTAGTGACTTGTATACTTATACTTTCACGCTGTGGTCAATGCCCAAACCAGTTAAATGCTCGCTCTGCTAAACCCGAGACATATAAGGTATACTAGAGAGAACTTATGTTTTAGCAAATTACTCTTGTCCCGGTCGCTATATTTTGATTAGTATAAATGAGTATTGATGAAGTTTACAAAGTGAGAAATTTACCAAACTCCTGGGACATTTATTTATGGAGAACCTGATTAAATTATGATAGGGCATCCATATCATATACTCCTCTGGTTACTCGAATTTCATTGGAGCATTCGATCGGAGAGGCGGTGAAGCTGTGTTCCGATCAATATTTAAATATAATAACGATCTCCCTCCCTCCGTTACAGCGCTGCGCTATCGCCCTCTACGCCATGATGACTTGTTTAAGCTTCCAATCGAAGAGAGACGTGACGGGGAACGGAACCCATCGTTATCCTTTGTTAATCTTTTGGCCAATTAAACACTGTTCTAAGGCCTACCAGCGTTTGGACAAGTGTCCCGGTAGTAACTTACGCCATCTTGGGAACAAGCTATGTATATGTAATTGCTAAATGCAATCTGAATGATTACAATGAACAGTTTCTTGGTTCGGCAGTTTTCAAACGCTATTTTTTTGTCTTTCCTACAACAGGGATTGCTCTTTAGAAAAATGAACTAATTGATAAAGAAATCGAGCAATAAAGTCACAAGATTACTGGGATATTGGCCTATTCTCTAGGCATTTCTACAATTTTATTGCCCATGTTTTATTCCCATTTACACAGTACTTGATATCGAAGCGGAATGGATACGAGACTAAATTAACACCGTAGCTTCCCTCCGATCTACTTATCTAATTTTAAAAAATTTGACCTTGGGAAATTAAATTTTGACGCATTAAACTTTAAAAACAACAACTACTAGTTTCTTTTAAAATTACATATGATTATTTACTGATTCTGAAATGACATTCGATCTAGTAGACCTGACCTGTTCCCTGAAACAGGAGCTAAATTAAATCAATCTGAAACTTCGTTAGTGTTATTCTTCATTACAACCTCCATGACATAATATATGTGAATTAAAGGCAATAAAATACAAAAAAATGATGTTTCTTATTGCACAAGTCAGTGCCATGCGTACTTCTATAGTCCGTGGCTGGAATATTGCCCGAACAACAGATGACAAAATATTAAGCATAGATTGTCATGTATTGCAAGTTTAACATATTCTCCGATATATGTGTTATATCAGTTACATTGCCTGTCTGCCTTTGATTTATAGGTTAATTTATAACACACCGTTATAACTGTAAACAAATCGCATGGAATAGTGGGAATGATATGTTCAACTAGACATCGAAAAAAAAAGGTTAATCCAGAAATGTATGTGGATTTATGTTTCAACGTGTAACGCATAGATAAAATCATTCAAAAAATGTTTTCGCACAAAAATTGAGTCTTGTTTTATTTTTTCTCAGCACAGATTGTCGTGTTTGCAAAATTAAAACTGCTTATGGCTCTTTAACAAATCATGTTTCCTTTTTTTCTTTAAATGAATGAACAAACTTTTGAATATCAAAGACAACTAAAAATGATGTGATAGTATATCGATGGATATTTTTTGCAATCAGTCATTCTAGCATTTTTTATCAGTGTACTATAAATAATATATTTTACATAGACTATAATATAAAGTGTTATTCTACTGCTTGAATCCCTCTGTAAATGATATAATTCCAATATAGTATTGATTGCTTGACATAAAAAAAAAAAAGCAATTCAATAACACTTTAATGTTCATCATCAATATAAGATAATACGCATATTGCCGTATGCGTACATATTTTAGCTCAATCAATTTCAAACCGCGTGGCATATAAGCGCTGACGTAATTTAGCACATCAACGCATCCGCGGAAGTCTTTGATTTCAAGACTGTTTACTAGCAGCCGTAGCATTACTTTATCACTAAGCAGATGCTTTGAAATATAGATATATTGATTCATCCTTATTTATTCTTGGTTTACATATAGGATCTTACATGAGTTTCCATTTCATATGAGGTTTATAAAACGAGTCTAAGAATTTTTTAATTAAGCGAGCCTCTGGCGAGCGAAAATGAAAAACTCGTGACGAGTTTCATAAATTTCATATGAAATAAAAACGAATGTAAAATCATTTTTATCACAGAATAAACAACAATTTTCATGAAACCTTGAAATGTAAAAAGCCGCGATTTCGTCTCCAGTCTGTGACGTCATGTACTTGTTCTAGGCGTGACGTTACAATTGAAACAATTGAAACGTACAACCAATCACAGGGCTGATAGGTCATATTACATGAGTTGATACGCAAAAAAATATGACATGGGTATATTTACTGGATATCACAGTACATTATGAGATAAAATAAAATATTAAGCTGTATTTCTGTGACAGATCAGTTTATAGATTTTTTCGAACTTGTGGAAACGTAAGGGTTTTCCATACGAATCACACACGCACACAAGAAATCTTATCCTAACACATTAGAGTGTGTATACTTGTTATCAATATAAGAATATTATCTCATCTGTTTTGATTGTAGCATATTTCAAAACAGTAAAAGTGCTAAACATAGCGCTTAAGTATTACACACAAAATGGTGTCCTAATTAAATTTATAGAAAACAATCAAATACTTATAAGAAGAAGATAGATTAAAAAGTATATGAGTAGCGATATTTATCATTTTCTGCTAATGATATTATTCATATTCAGTGTGAAACTCAATTAATTTGAAATCATAACATATTATACTGTACATATCTATCGTCTTTGAAAATAAATTGATTCAAATGCGACAAAAAACACCATCACCCATTACATGGTATTATTACGAAATGCTTACAGAACGTATATAAATAATAACAATAACTGGAATATGAATTTATCTGAATCACAGCTGTATACCATATTTATTTAACAAATGTGTAACAAAAATAAACTTTTCAATCATTTCAATTCAAATGATATGATAAACTCATTTGGAATCAGCCCCTCGATGTTTTATATACATTTATTTGTGATTATATAACGTTTTACAGGACACCTTGCCATTATAACGGATTGAAAAGCATTGCTTTCATGTCAAAAGTTTGTTTTTTACATAAACTAATTTACAAGCCAAAACTTCATGTCATCGCAAACCTACTAAAATGTATCCATATTGTTGCAACATTAAAATTTACTATTTTAATGAAATAAATACAAATTACATATTTATCATACTATCAAATTTCATATCTAAATGTCCCGTCATTTACCTACGCTTGAAATTCTATGCACATGCTGATGATTAAAACATTAATTTGCAATGTACAAGAAACAGTTGAATATATAAAACAGCTGAAGGGTAAATTGTATATGAATAAATCAAAAAGCACCTCTAAGTCTGACGAGGTTCACAGGCTACCAGAAGCAAACACGTTTCGGAGGGTTTCGGAGCTTTTCTTATTGGAAGAAAGTACACTACACCTTGCCCTTTCCAAATCGAAGTGTTAGCTGAACAATTTCTACAAACTTTTCAAAGCGGTTTTCTGTTCCGAATGTACCGCCACCCCCCGCCCAACATATTTTTTTGTATTTTTAAACGATATTAACCTATTTATGCAACAATATTAATTCGAATATCTTTGTAATAAAGAATGATATAATGCATAGCTAAAAATGACTAAAGATTGATCAATAGGGAAATATTTACTGCTTTCTTTTTACATAGTGCATAGGGCCCATGTTGTCGATACCGCGTTACAGTGATTGACTAGTATAGTTATCCCCATTCTGGTCCAGTCTTCGCGATCCCGAGCCTCCTATTTAACCACGTAATCTAGTATAAACATCCTGTGTTTTGGTATCTCTGCATTAGTAATAAAAAAATGAATTATTCATATCACAAATTCCAATTGCACAGATTAACTGAATTCGAAGAATGTAATGATTTGAATGAAATTATTTTTATTTATATTTGAAAGATGTTTAACTATATATTGAATTATTTGGGTCAGCTCTGCCATAATAACTACACGGCAAGCTACACTTTTCGTTTCTGTATTTTTTTCGAAATTGGGTTTCATTTATATTATATTAAATTAACATTATATACAATATTATGAATCGATTTGGAATAATCTTTTTTCCAAAAATGTTATTTTGATTTTGTGTGTATTTCTTAGGAGGCAAACACGTGTACCATATTTTTTTGAAGATGGAATGTTTATAATGTACAAAATAAAACTGTTAAAATCTTTGCAAAAAATTCACTCAACCATACTAAACAGTAACCTAACGGGACTAAATGAGGATTGATCACAATGGTTTAAGCACGTCTATATCATGTTTAATTATATGCCTATTGTGTTGTGGATCAGTAGAGTAAATGACAAACGGAGTGTTCATTGTAATAAGTTGTTCATCCTATATAGGTATCGGGGCATGGAATCGTCCTGCCCGTCCGCCGGATAAGATTGGAGGATGACGCTAGCGATGTCAGACAAGAACTACACAGACAAATGTATTAGCTTGCAGGGATCGCAATTACATTGTAATGGAAACAAATGAAGGTGTTTCAATTCCCGCGCAGTCAATGCGATTTGTCCACGTGAAATGTCACGTAATGTTGTTATCATGTTTGTAGGAAACATGGATAGTTTAATTTATGTTGTTGTCGTGTATAAGTACCTGTTTTCGAATGCAGTATACATACAAAGCTTCCCGTTAAGTATTAGCTAAGTAGAAAATCATTATATGTTCCCTTCATTTTTTTTTTACTTAACAATTTCTTTTGGGAGTATCTTTTTAAACAAAATAAGTTCATGTTATTGTGTACCCAATAACTACCATACTTTTGTTTGACATATTCAAACTGTGGTGATATCAAAATGAGCTGGCAAAATATACATATCAATATTAACGTCAACGTTTACTTATAAGACTCCTTCATATTGATAGCGAATTTATTAGAACCAATGACATTTTTTTTTTCTTTATTGTGCAGATATCGCAAAAGATTGCCTTCAAGTTGCTTTGCTTAGGATTTCTTTTATAATGTTAAGAAAAAGTCTTGAAACAATGTGTATGCGTACCAAA